AAGGATGGGGGAAGAAGGGGTGGGGGGCAGGGGGAGCAAGCAGCAGAGCTTACCTGGGCAGTGCAGTGAGGTCCACCCCCCTACCCATCCGACCCATGGCTGCCCCAGTGGTGCTCCACATGTGGTTAAGTCCTGTCTGCTCCCTCCTGGGGCAGCCTGCACCTGCCCCATGTCCACCAGACAGCACCATCCCAGACCCATCCAGCACACACAGCATCCCAGCAGGGCTGCTGCCACAGCCACAGAAGTAGTGTTCAGCTCCCCTCCTCCTGTCTCTGCTGCGCTGTTCTTGGCAGCAGGTAATGTGGCGAAGGCATGGGAATGTGTTCTGGGCAAAGGGGCAGCTGCAGCCAGGTGGTTTCTGCCCCAGCATGCAGGGCTCCAGTTTCCACTCCCAACCACCTTCTACCCACTCAGCCACCCACAGGTGGCTGCTCATCATGCCACAAGATGGAAGACAGCCAGGAGCTGGAGCCCTTCCTGCTGGGGCAGGAGTCACCTGGCTGCAGCTTCCCCCCTGCCTTGCTGGGCATCTGCTACCCAGCGCGCATCCCAGAGTAATACAGCAAGGGCAGGAAGAGGAGAAGTTGCTGCTGGAGGTGAGGGGGGTGCAGAACAGTACACAGCCCACTGTGGCAGTAGTCTCACCAGCTACATGGGTACAGGCCAGGGCAGGGCTGTCTGGCAGATGTGGGCCACCCCAGGTGGGAGCAGGTGGGTCTTGGCCCCATGCAAACCACTAAGGGGGCTGCTGCAGGTGGGGTCCAATCAGTTGACAGGCCAGACCCAGCTCATGGCCCGGATCCAATCAGTTGGTAGGCCAGATCCAGCTTGCAGGCCATTTGCCCACCCATGATTTAGATACAATAACTATTGGGAGGTTGGACAATTCAAGTGAAATGGTGTCATTAGCTGGCTAAGAAACAGTAAAATCAAAATCCGATGCTGAGATATAAAATGTGCAGAAGCCTCTTAAAGTTAATGTGCTACACACTATTGCCAATTTCAAAAAACTTCACAAACTAGGAAATACACTATATCAGGAAATGTGCTTGAAAAGGTAATTGAGAAGATCACCAACTGAAATTAAAATTATAAACCACATCTACTTTGAATAAACAAAACCATCTTCTAAAATGAATTAAGATTGAATAAACAAGGCAATATTTCTTTTAAAAATATCCCCGCAACCATCAATGGAAAATGAAATTGTATGTGTATGCCCCAGGGAACTGAATGTAGATATGTTTCAATAGCAAAAAAACCAGTTGTTCATGCTCTAACCTTAATTTTCTTGGGGGGAGATGACATCTCCAAACAGGAAATTCATAAGAAAAAATAATTTTATCATCATCTTACCTGACAGGTACACTGGCTTCCTGCCCAATTTATCAGACAATGGGCCAAATGCAATATTTCCAATAAGCAAACCAGCAAAAAACACGGATGATGCAAGGCTCACTTTATAAGCTTCTTGTTTGATTAAATACCACTGTCAAAATACAAGAATCTGTTTGTAGTTAAAAAACTAGTAGCATTAATTCATTTGCTTCTTAAGAAATTAAATATTTTTTTTTGTTTTTAACTGCTATCTTACCTATATTCAATCACAGTCTCCAGCAAAGCCTGAGGGCAGATTACAGACCAAGCGTTTTAAACAAATATATACTTTCATCAAGAAAATGCATAATATAGTTCTCCTGCTAGGTTTCAACTTAATGGGTTTGAACAATACAGAAAAACATTTTGTCGCTGTGGCTAATAAACTTTGATTCAAAGCAACACAGCCTAAGCCATTAAAAAATGGAAATACAGGACTCATGTTACACTTCATTTGAGAAACACGGAACTAACTATTACGTTGTTCAAATTACCTTTACAGTATCAATGATAAAAATGTTCACCAGGAACAAAGTAGTATATGGTATGTTTTACTTTTATAATGTATTACCCCAACCAGTATTTTTCAAACTACATCCCAGGGCCTTGAAAATGTGAGGTAAACTAAAGAAAGGTGGTTAGCCATATTAGTCTGAAGTCAGGCAGAGCAGGGAGACAACACAGCACTTTTCCGGGGGAGGGGAGTGGAAAAGGGGGGCCGGTCCCTTTTGTCATTGGATCCTACAGATCAATATGTCTATTGCCCTGCTTCAGCTACCTATAAAATATGTGAAATAAAATGTGCTAATGCTTCAGAGATTGCATGGGATGTGATTCATTTCAGGGACAAATCTGTCAAGCTGTGTCCACTCACTGGCCACCTAGTGGGACAGTAAAAGCCATGAAACTCAGAAGGGCTACACATGTAAATGACTGTACTGCTTTTGTTTTGATGTGGGTTAAAATCTAGGACAATCAGGATTGCTTCAAATGAGATTATCTGCTAACAGCTTTACAGACTAACTGGTTTACAGAGGCATCAGTTTTCACAGCCAACAGCTTACTTTGTCAGGTGCTATGAAATGGACTGTCAGCTATGAAAGCATATGCCTCTCTGAACCAGTTGGTCTTAAATGTTCAGTAGACATCTGTTATCCCAGGGACAAGAAGCAGTGGCACACCTTGTGCCTCTGCTACTTGTCCCTAAGGAATACCTGTGCCACGCACCCTCTGGTGTGCAGCAGGTTACCCCGGGTGGGGTAGGGGAGGCTGCCCAGCAGCCTTACCTGGGGTCCTGGGGGCCTCCTGGGGCTGCAGCAGTGGCTATCTTTCCACTCGGAGCCTAACCAGCAGCTGGAATGTGGCTCTGGTCAGCCAGGCTCTGGTGGTGGGTACTGTCCCTGCGTGCGTGAACCCACTTTATTTTTCTGGGCACAGATTTTTTTTACCCCAGGATCTCCCAGGGTTAAAAACACCCCCTACAATGCTACCTTGCACTGTGGAGAACACCTGAATGTGCGGTATGTGGTGGCACAGATGTGTTTACTGCATCACATATTACACAGCCATGCTCATCTGGACATAACCTAAGGTACTATCCTGCCCCATTTATCTCATTCAAGGCCCTCTAGTCTCTGCAATTCTGTTGCAGTGGAATTTGGCTTTTTTCTACCTGCTGTGAAATACTGAATCAAATGTTATTTTAACAAGGAACTCCACATTTTGGTTTTTTACTTTGCCCTATAGCAACTTATTAGCAGGTGCCCATGTCTTCAGATTTTTGCATGAAAGGAGGTATTACAGTACATGGTCCCGCCAATGTTCCATGGAATCAAAAAGCAGGAAATCCCTGCCCCGCCTCTCATCGATAGAACTTCTGCTTTCAGGATGGTTTTCCCTCTGGTGAATTCACACCAATATATGCACCAGAACATGTTAGCTACTGCATTATATGAGAATAGCTGTTGTCAAATCTAAAAAAGGCTTCTAGGGCATGTACATGGAAGAGGGTCATAGGGAAATCAAACACAGAAGCACCAAATAATTCAAAGCTCAATATTTCCACTGAATATTTCAAGGAAAAGCTTCCAGTATCATGATATTTGCACTGATAATGCCACAAAAGAGGCAGAAAAAGAAAAGTAAGTGACTTCATAACTAGGACTGCATCCCAAGGTATTTGGGGACATTTTTCAGTTCTTAGGGAAGCTTTGGCTATAAAAAAAATTAAATCAAGAATCAAAAACCTTTTCCATTCTGAAATGATCTGGCTTTCACCTGGAAGTTCTGAATAACTTTGTTGAGGTCAGAAAAGAACACACACACATTTTTTTGGTGTTGAATGTGGCTTTACCTCTGCCATATATTTCCATGATCAAAATTAGTTTGAATACTGAATCTTGCTCTCCAGGACCTGCGTTTTCAACCTGAAAACTGGAACTTCCAGGGAGGTCATACTTCTGGGAGGTTGCTACCACATTGTTTTTCCTATTGCTAAATGGGAGAAGGGCCCTAGTTTAGCACTGGCCTGCTACGGCAAAAGGTGAAAACCATGAAGTGAATTGGTAAAATCAAACCAGGTCTTAATGAACTGGTGTCTACATACCTAAACCATTACTACAGTTGGTGCAAACTAACAACCTTTTTGGAAATCTCATTATAGAAGAGGAACTAAATCAAAATAAGTTATTTGTCTCCCAGATAATATCTATTTCAAACAAGAAGCATGTAGGAAACTTCTATGGCCTGGATTATACAGAGTTCAGATGAGATTACCTCACCCTGTAATTTAGAAACACACAGTTACTGTCACTTGTAAATAAATGAAATTAAATGAAAAAGAGTAAAATGGGGAAATTATTAACACCTGTTAACTATACCATTAATTTCAAGAATTTTGCAGAACAAAAAAGAATCTAACCATGAATTGATTTATACTATAATTTAGTAATACTCTACTTCCATCTGGAGCTGTCAAGATTCATGAAATGATCCAATCATGACAAAAGCTTAAGAACATAATAGAAAAAAACCTATTCAATTCAGAAACTGGAAAACAGATTTATATGCAAAATAATGGTAAAACCATGTCTTACTTTACATAGTAAAATCATACCATCAGAACATAAAAAATACATTTAGAATCTAAACATTTGTATTCATGAGGGTAGATAAGTTTTACTGATTTCTAGCTAACAAAGTCTTTGTCGTAAATTTAATCTCAGACCTTGAAATATAACTTAGGTCTTATTGTGAAAAATACAATTGGCTTCAACATGCAAAATGCTTACAGCTCACCTCCCACTGACTGCAAGTGTTTTAGGCCCACACCCAAAAAACAGTAAATCTTACCCAGTTAATGTTTTTCCTAAATACATTTAGGGGTTTGCATAAGGATGGACTGGTTTGACCTTGATTACTATAGTGACTAATAAAATGTCAAGCTAGATTCATAACAACAATATATTTTACCAGCAAGACCTCATACTTCAGTCTGAGGCTAAGAAGCTTTAGACTTGAAACACACAACGTCCTTGAAACATAGGTGAAACATCAATTAAAAAAATAAAACTGCATACGGGACTCCTTGTTTATCTAAGAAAGGATGAGAACTACAGGAACCACTGCCTTAGTGAAAAACTTTAAATGAAGAGAACCAAAACTTGCAGTATAATGTTGAGATAGTAACCCTGTAATTATGGCTAAAATAATATTTCTAACAATGTTGACACAGTCTAGAGAAAGAAGTGAAAAATGTGTCTTTACCACTTAAGTTTCCAAGTGCTTTTTTGATGCATAAGCACACAACTGAAGATAGCTTATTTTTTAAAACTGGAGAATTTACCAAGAACATAATTTATTTAATGAACACAGATGCTCTGAACATATTTATAGATTTAAGAAATGAAAGAAAACAACAGTAAAAAAAAATCCCGTAAGTCTAAGTAAGTTTAAAGGTGAAAGGCCATACCCAAGCAACCCTTTCACATTCAGCGATTTCTATGTCCTAATGTGCTGGTAAATTAGTTTGGGCATGAAACCTCCTTAATTAAGTATTCTTCAAACTTCACAAAGAAGAGTCCCATATTGTTAATGAACAGAAATGAGAAACACAGAAATAACTGTTATGCAATGACACAGCAAAAAGCACTTGCCTCAGTTACTATAGATGTGAAGTTATCTGTAAATTGGATGCGCTTGGCAAGCTCATCTCTGCTGGCTGGAATTTCTTCTTGGTTGATATGATACTGCGGTACAGCCCCCACTAGCACAATAAGCATGGACTGGCAGGCTACATACACCTTAAAAGAAGAGACATGTGATTATCTATCTTGAATAATCCCCACGCTAGCTTGCTGTCTTGTTTATCTGATTTAAGCTTATTAAATTTACTTAATACTTGATCAATACACTTAAGTTATAGTGATGTGTTTTAAGCCAGAGATATGAACTCTTTTGTCAGGCATTCTGGAATGAAAGCACACACGACACAGTTAAAACTGTCAGTGGGTTTCCATTAAAAGTATGATTTTGTCGCCTTGCCCCTAGATCCAAAATTATTCAATTTTGTTTGTTTCTTGTTACTGTGGCGCAAGATCATCAGAAGACGTAGAAAGAAGAAAGATTTTAAAATATTTTACTAGATATTCCTTGCTGAGATCTAATACCAAAGACCAGCATTTAATTTGACTAAAGTCTGATTCCAAAATTTATTAACAGTTTATTTAGAAAATTCACTATGGAATGTGAGTCCCTGCAACAAAGCTAAAGGACCAATACAGATCTGAGTTTCCGTTTTAAAAATTCTCTAATGTTTTCTTTACAGAGATCAAGCTGAAGCAAACCCTATACACTAGAGAATCTAGATGATCAAAAAAAAGGATTTTTCTCATGGAAAGGTTCATGAGAAGACTTTCCCTCCCTACAGGACTCAAGAGGTACACAACAATTTTAAATGCTTTATATAAGAAATACAATTCTCAGTTTCTAACACTGGACTTTTTAATTTAAATATTCTTGAAAACTAATATGCACTCGGGTCTTATCCAATGTTATGCAAAGTTTTGTTCATGGAAGATCCTCAGCTCTAACTGGTTTCCCCCAGCAATCCAACAATGCCCCACTTATCTACACTGCAAAATTACAAAAGTTCTTTATTAAAGAATAGCCAATTGCCCATCAAGAATGACGCGGGAGGGGGCTGGGATGGAGTGCCACAACCTAACACCCCGTGCTGCCGCTGTTCTGCCTCTTGCAGGGAGTAGGGTGGAGGAGCCAAGGCCTGCGCTACTAGCCTCAGCTCCACCACCCTCTGCCTAGTCCTTGGTGCAGCTTCGGAATTATGGTGATGCTCCCCCATGCTTGGAACACTCTGATTGGCTGCTTCCGTCAGCCAATCAGAGTGTGAATAAAGCGTTATGGACAATCAGTCTGGGGCTTTTATAATATTAGAACTAGTGAACTGCCTGTCAAGAATGATGGGGGGAAGGGAAACGGGTAGGGATGGCATGCCTCCTGTCACTAGGGTCACCCAAGGTCTGCCGCTATAACAAGGGGCAGTGAAGACAGACCCAG